CTTCAACTCTCAGGACACGCCTTAAATGATTTTTTGCTGTTTGGTGTTTTTTAGCAAATTTTTTGTCTAGGAGATGGGGTTTCTGACCATTTGCCCAACAATTCTCCTCTATCCGGGTTTGCGATTGGCAATAATCCTAGACGGGCTACAATCGAAGTTTTGTCAAATGATTAATCATGTTTAAGTATTTCTTCAGTATTGCGTTTCGAAACTTAATGTCCTCAGGTAGCAGATCAACTCCATCTTCCCATTGCTTTATCGAAATTTATAAAAGGGGCTAATAACCTTATATGTTGGTAAATATTATCGATCAATCGACTTATTTGTTATTTTTGTCTTGTAATTCTAGGATTTTCAATTTCGTGCAGTTTTTCGAGCTGTTGGTGATCCAACCAATCCGTCGTCAATGCGCCGGTTAATTGATTCAGGCAGTGAAATACAGAATTTATTTTTTAAAACGTCAACACTAGCTCTAGTAGCCACTAATTTCATTGAGAAACTCAGTTTTTTCGTTTGGAAAACATTGCACAATTGATAAAATCTTTTTGATATAATTCTGCTCTGTTCGTTCAGTTTAATTAATTTGAATTGATGCTTGATTTTCTACAACTTTTTAACTAACAACTATCCTCCGCTTAATCTTTTTTGTTGAATATTTTATTTATTTAAATTAAATTCGTGTCTAATTTGTTTTGCATATCTAGACATTAATGATGATTGATGAGAAGAATCACGACCGTACTTTTTTGCGTTGTTTCATTCGTCTTTCTATTTTGATAAACGAGAAAAGAACCTTATTTTACAGAAAGTTTCTTTTTATTATTTTTAACATAGTGATTTGGTTAAGTCTAGTGGTGAGAATGGTTACCAAAAAGCTGTTCTGAAATTTTCCCACATACTGAGCTTTATGTCTATGATGATATACGAGTTTATTGTTAGATAATAAATTCACCGACTAAATGACATCCTTTCATATTCCGGGTTCATACTAGAAAACCAGGCCAAACTCGTTCCCCTAATGTTTATGGTGGCCTACTCACTAAAGAATTATTCAAAGTGGAAAATCATACCTTTTGTTTATTTTCTCTTCAGTGAAGGAATTTTCTTATTATTATTAGCTTTATTCAATATTATATTTTTGGTACAACATAGATTTTTCAGCATAAAATATTTCAGCGAATTTCCACTTCTTATTTCTTGATCGATATTGACGATAATTGTTGAGCGATTGCCAGTTAGATGTTAGCATTTCAGAAATCGACATCTGAATAATGTTCATTCTTTTAATTGAGTTTTACAGGAAGCCATTTCGGAAAAACATGGACGCATTATTGACTCTCAACCCAGGAGAATGGATCAATGGGCAGAACACTTCAGGGATCAGTTCAACTGGCCTTCAGCCACACTTCGGTTTCCCACGATCTCCAATCAACCTAAATGGCAAATTGATGCAAGTCCTTCAACTCTTTACGAAGTTGAAAAAGTTACAGGAAATCTGAAGCGAGAGAGAGCAACAGACACTGGCAGGTTTACCCCTGAGATTTTTAAGGATGACGGTCCAGTATTAGTAGCGAGATTGACTGAGGTCCTAGGTAGAATTTCGGAACTGGACGTAATCCCATCTGACTGGTTTCAATCACTGATTGTGCCAGTCTATAAGAAAGGACAAAAGTTCTCTTGTGACACTCACAGAGGAATCAGTTTGACTAACATTGTGTCTAAAATATTAGTCTCAATAATAATTTGACACCGAAACTAAGCTTTTGAAGAGCAGACTAGAGAAAGTCAGGTTGGTTTACGACCAGAACGTGGCCGTATAGGCCAGATATTCATACTGCGTCAAGTCCTAGAACACAGACACACATTCAGACGCCCCGCAATGGTAGTGTTTCTCGGACTTAAGGCGGCATTCGACTCTGTTGATCATGAGGTTCTATGGCAGTGTTTGTCACTGAAAGGAGTACCAAAGAAGTACATTAACCTTGTAAAGGCTCTCTACTCGAACACAACTGGTCGAGTGAGAGCCTATGGCGAACTGTCATCAGAATTGATTACCTCAAGTGGTGTTGGTCAGGGCTGTCCACTCCCTCCATTCTTGTTTAACTTTGTCGTTGACGTACTTTTAGAAATAACACTTTCCTCGTCTATATTTCCAGGGGTTGAACTTCTACCGGGAGGTTCACTTGTTGACTTGGAATATGCCGATGATATAGTTCTGTTTGGTGAGGACTGTGACAAAATGTAGAGTCTTCTGACCACCATAAGCAACAGTGCAAGCATGTTCAGGATGCGATTCCCCCCTCGAAATGCAAAATGTTGTTTCAGGATTGAGTTGCCTCGACAACTGAACTAATGATAGTGAGTGAAGTAGTTGAGTGTGTCGACCGCTTCACTTATCTTGGAAGTCTCATCAGCCCTTGTGGTCTGGTGTGTGACGAAATCTCAGCACGAATACAGAAGGCTGAACTAGCTTTTACCAACCTGCGTCATTTATGGCGTAGGCGAGATATCCATCTATCAACCAAAGGACGTGTTTAATGTTTTATGACTGTGAAACATGGCCGGTAAGAGTAGAGGATATTCGTAGGTCACTAGTATTGGATCATAGGTGTCTTCGAAATATTGCTCGTATATCCTGAGACCACCGAGTAACAAATGCAGGTGTTAGGACATGGGTACTAGGTAATGATGGCAAACCGACTGATGAAGTGGTGAAACTTCATCAGTAGATATGGCTGAGATATGTGTTACATATGTTCAACCACCGACTGCCTCGACTAGTGATGTTTTTTGGTGTAGGATTAGGTTGGAAGAAGGATAGGAGCGACCAGACCACAACACGGCACAAATACATGAAGTCATTGACAAGTGGACTGAGTCATGTTGGTAGGTGTAGACTACCTGGTTGGAATCCGTGAGATGACAGCAGCCAATGGTTAGAGACCTTGAATAACATGGCTTAGAGTCGTTTGCAACGACACGAGTGCATCCACTCTTTGTGTTCTCCCAAATTTTAATCTTCTGAATTCTCATGTCCCTTATTTTTTCTCTTTCCAAGTTTATTTCACTGGATTATACTCCTTGAATAACATCTTCAAACCCTAGTATTTACGATTACTGCTTATACTCTTACTACTTTTACCACTATGATATTTGAATTGACAATTGTATCTATGTACTAATGTGGTATGGCAACTCGAACTGATGCACGTACGTACGAAGTTCTATGTTGTTGCTAACTTACTGACTGAAACGTGATTGTCCGTTTACCACAAAATATATTGATCATTTCTTTTTATTGATTTGTTAGATAGCAAATAGATCCCACTTAATATTTTGTGCATGATGATAACTGACTATAGTAAGTCTCAAATGAAGGAAGTGAATCTTTTTTTAACGTTATCCAAAATATTCGCTTCTGTTCCAACATAATTTAATGTCAAATTTCAGTAAGGTTCTCACACCTAACTGCTTGCTATTCTGATTTTCTATTCATTATATAGACCTTATTAATCAAACGTTTATCAGTACTTGTACAACATCCCAATTATAATATTTTTGTTAGGCTGGATTCATTTTGTTTTTACAACTTCGATTTCTTAGCTTTATTATACTACAAACAGGGTTGTGTTCGGTTATGATGGTTATTGCTGATCATTTTTTGACCTAGATCGAAACTTGGATTAAGGGCAAAGGAAAGCGAACTGATTTCTTTTGAACTCAGTTATATCCGAAGTTGCGCCACCGTAGGTCCTGGCTTCGAATCCCGCGGGGTACGGGATCGTAGATACGCACTGCTGAGGAGTTCCATACTAGAAGGAAACGGCCGTCCAGTGCTTCCAGGTTTTCCATGGTGGTCTAGCTTCAACTGACTCATGATTTCAATCCATAAACTAATTATTTAATAAAAACATACATACCAATTCCAAGGTGAATAGCCTTCAAAGTTTGTTATTATCAATCTTTCACCCGTTCCTAATAGCAACTAACGCGATATGGAATGAAATGAATGAACAAAATCATATTTTCAATTATTTTTTTATTTCATATCTGTGCACGTTAAACAACCTCTTATAAACAATGAGTACTGGGCGAATATTTCGTTGTTCTGAAAGTTACTATTTTATATCCATGACTACTTTTATGAATAGCTGAAAACCCTCAGTCTTTAAAAATTTATGATCAACATCAATAACTCTTTTCATGTACGACACCATCACTTACATGTTTCCCTACATGTCTTGACAACAGTAAATGTGAATCATAACCTATTATCCGTCGTCGAAATGAACATTTTAAATTACAATGATTGAAAACATTTTTCTAATCAACTCTCAGTTCGTTGTTCAAAATATGTTAGTCATTAGCATAGGAAATCACTTGTTGTAATTAATCTCAGGCATATCGGTTTCTAAACGAGCAAATCGACTGAACTTCAAATTAACAACAAGCGTTCATCACAAACTGATCAGTTTGTTAAATAAACCAATCTACTTTTTTTACAGCCAAATGAAATGTAAACCAGAGTAACCTGTTAAATCTAAGTTTAATATTGGGGTGTTGACTGGAATTTACTGAAAACTGTTCACTGTGATGAATGTATTTGGCTAATTGTATGCAGTTACTTAATGAGTGTGAAAATTGACCTTGTAAGGTAATTATATAAAACCCTGAAGCAAAACATAAAATATATTGGTTCAAATATTTCCAAACGGTTACATTAAATACGTACGTGGAGCACTCCACCAAATTAACTTGTAATATTATTGATCGCAACAGTAAGCGTTGCGGATTGAGATAACTGGACGAGCACTAACTTCCTTAATACTGAATAAACATTTTGGCTTTCAGGGCTAGTCAATAAAAAATATAGTCACAAAGATCCTTCTCAACCGTATTCACTAATCTACCAAAAAAAGTGCTTGTTAATATACACTCACACTGACAGATCAATTATGATTCCAAAATTTTCACTTTCATTCAAAAAAGGATAATCAAACTATGGAGAACGCAAGTAGCATAGTATAATTTACAAGACAAGAAAATAAAAGGGTTCTCATTCAGAAACAAAACAATGAACTTCGATAGAGTTGGAAACTAAAAAACACTATCGGCTTCTCTGTTAAATCGACTCGGTTCTCTAAACAAATTACTTTCTTTTAAGATCAAATAAAACGACTGATAGATTAACAGATTATTCTGAAGCGTACTTAGTATGTACGACAAGGATGGCACGTTTGAATATCCTGAAAAGGTTCTGCATAAAATACAGTAAAATTGCAATAGTATGTGCGACCATAAGTGGTGTAATCTATGAATTTAAACTCATCGTTTTACCTGCCAACCAATTTATTTTAGGGAAACGGGAACAGCAAACTTGGCTAGTTAATATTACATCTTAAGAAGACAATTTAATTTTGCCACCGATATGTACTTTCTGAAAAAGCTACCTGATACGTAGGGACCGCAGAATTTAAGACACTAATGAACTAAAGAATATATTTTTACCTGAAGCGGCACGATGTATTATTACATACAACCTATAAGTTTTCACGTGCGTTGAAACTAGTGCTCCGCATCTTGTCATTAACCACCATCAATTCCGTCGTTATCAGTACAGAGCGTGGTACAAGACGCCACACTGAATCAGCAGAAAGAAACGAAGTTAACAGGATTAATAGCAAACAATTCAAAATACTAGTAATATTAATTATAGTGCGATAGACTAAAATATGGTTTGAATGTGGATATCCATTTCTGATGAGTATTCGTCTGAGTTGAAGTAGTTCCTCACATTTTGTGTCATGCGAGCATATTTGCCTAGTCCTCAAGGAAAAAGCGAACTAGGTCCCTGTTTCTAGCCAATGGGACTCGACTATGGGAATTTGCATTCTGACCAATCTATGTTGGTTTTCTATGTACATGTGTTTGTGAGGGAGCATCTCTCCTTTTCAACAAGACATATGTGATCTATACGACAGTTCCATAAACAAGGAAATGGAATTTAGTCTCAAGTTAAACGGCATTTTATTCACATCAATTAGACTAAGTGGAACGACTTGATAGTTAGGGTGTTCGGCTTTTAGCATCTAACTCCCAGGTTTGAGCCCGGCTTCACCTATTTTGATTTGGGAAATCAGGTATTAACATTAGCCCTCAAACTTAGAGTGTAACGCGTAACCGAGTACATGGAGTTTGAGTTAAATTCTAAATTTTAATTTCAAGTGGAGCATTTGAGATTTTCGTTGTACAAATATTCTGACAACTCTACTGCTGATTATGTACATTATATATGTAGTCTAAGATACTGATATTCAGTGAGTTTTTGTAAACTAACAATATTAACTTAATGATGAATCGGTTTGTCATTTAGTGATCAGAAATGTTACCAATGCATTCCAAGCTTTTTTCGTGACAGACTATCCAATATAATATCCACTTATGAATACAACTACGTTGGGAGTGAGATACATGATTGATGGTATTGAGTGATAGTTGTGCGAAATCGCGAATTAACTGCCGTTTGAAGTATGAATCGAGATCACTGGATTCTAACTAAGCGGATTGTAGACAACGCAGTCACCATGATGCTTGGAGGTCACAAGTGTGTATTATTCAGAAGTCCCAAACTAAAGCGAAACAGGTATCCAGATGTATCATGTTTTAGAGTGGTTGTTTACCAGAAGTCAGTTTGTAATGTTAGCTAACCTTACACTCAAACACCTCTACAATTGACCTATTCTACATGTGATTATCTTTTTTTATCAATTGTGAATTTGCACTACCTTAAGGACAAACCTTTTTCGAAAAAATGAAGAAATTCGTACACTAAGAAATGCCAAGACGTTTTAGTATTATAGATGCAAATGAGCTTCCATATCTTAGACTTCAGTAATCCAGAAACAAAAGTAATTAATTACCGGTGTACGGGGTATGAGTGAGCAGTCGTTGTGGAAACGCGTTATTAATCCATATAACAAAAGACCGTAGGAGAATATATCTGCAGCAAATGTATAGGGTGCTACTCGATTTAGACATTCAGGAGCAGCATAAAATGGGTTTCAAACGACTGAAACTGTATCTGCATGATCCATAAAAGTGAAATGAGACAAGAACTTTACTAATAAATTACCAAACCGAACAATTACATTTAACTGCTAAGTAGCCGGAAATGATTTAAAACTAGTTCGAGGTTTTGAATTAGTGTTGCGTCCAAATGCTCGTTGTATTGAGTCACGGTGGATTAGCATAAACTCCTGTCCATCGTTTCGAATCAGCATTTACTTCGGTGTTTTAAAAACACAGGAGTAAAAGTTAGTGTTTAGTATTTGGTGGATAATGAAAACGGACAATTTGGCTTGATGGTGATATGACAGGAAGTGCTGAAACACGTATTTGGATATTCTGAACAACTGAACTAAATTTAACTCCGTATTCATAAATCTTGGTCTACAAAAATAAAACTGTGAGAAAATTAAAAAAACGAGTGTAACGATATGTATAGATAAAAAAACCTACTGTCTCAAATCCAAGCATAAACCCAAATCGGCCACAAGTGCAGTAAATTCCAGTGAACTGCTTGATGATAATAAAATTTCTGATCGAGTTAGACAATTTAGTACAAGTAGATCATTAGTAATTAATTGCTTCCATTGTGGTTCAATAAGTGGAATAGACTGCAGATAGCTGAAGGGGGTAATTGATTTACTTGAACACGACAATTCGTCAGTATGTTGGTTTGCAAATGAAAGTAGATGAGCTAAATTCAAATCAGAGTTATCTATATCTGTGGGATATTCTTCGTTTGAATAAGAGCTGACTGGTAAAAATTCATTGTTTTCATCATTTGAGGGTATTCTGCTAAACTGGTGAGATTGCTGTCGGTTGACACGACTGCTGTGACGTCTACAAAGATTATGAGAATGACAAGATTTATGTGATAAGCCATTGGTATGCTTGCTTCCTTGAACAAATGCATCGCTTTCGGATCCAGATAACTTGGATTGAGTAAGTCGATCTTGAAGAGTGCCATTACAAACTGTCTGATAGTCAAAGTTAAATGTTAAATCAGAATAACTGTCTGTTGTATCTGGGTGCGATCGAGCGTGAACTCGGATAAGGATATTCTGTAGTGTATGTAGAGAAAGGACTATTATAACGATATCATCACATTGTGAAAAAGAAACGAACAACTTAGAAACTATGTCAAGTACTATCTTTTTCCTGCAGAAGTTATTCCTGAACATCGACAAACTATAGTTTTATGGTTAGTGTTAGTATCTGTTTGCGAAACGTTTTTGCTTTAAAACAGTGAATTAAGTCCCATCTTATCCGATGAAAAGCGGCGACTACGATCAATATCAGTCAACATACTCAGAAAGTCCAATTCTTATGTCCTAGTTTTTATAAAATTGAAGTGAGTGGTATTGTAAATTATTTTTAGAATGAGTGTGTGAACGAATAACGCTAACTGGTGCTTTGTGATAAGAAAGTTATGAAGATGATGTAATGCAATAACATTTATCCCCAAACAGAATTCACGGTTTTCGAAATCATAGTTATTGAATTTTTTCCTTTTTTTACTTGTAGTGATGTTCAAATACAGAAAATGAATGTCACGTTGTTTAGGTTAAATCTTTAACTCTATTCTGTTATGAATACAACTTGTTACTATTTCAAGCAAATAGGCGGCATCTAAATATCAGATTAAAGTCTGGAACTCCATAATAACAGGAGTTTAAATTAGAACAGTGCATATGGGTGTGGATGAAATCTCTTGTAAAAAATACCTAAGAGGTTAAATCTCGATGAATTAGACTGTGACTGTGCAGATGGTGAAGGCTACAGGCAATATCCAAAGGTAAATTGATCCGAACAGACCAAGACAAGTTTAACGCTACAGCAGCCAAAAGACCTGCTAGACTACCTTCACTAGCGTACTAGTAAAAAAATAATTCCAAAAGGTAGGATATGATGAAAGTAGATAACAAATCCAAGGTCACTTCATAAAAAAGCAAACAAATAATGACTAACTAATCGTACGAACAAAAATTGCATTTACGGGGAGACTCTAATTTAAGGACGACCTCTGAACGGATCTTAAGTGACCTTGACAATTATTAGCCAATCAGAAGAAAGTATATTATATGAAAGTAATGAATTACAGTGGATATTCTTCTTTTACATGATTTAAAAACTTGTTAAGGTTTGATTAAGGTTCAGAGGTTCTGAATTCACAATGCATATGGAATAGAAACTCGTCTGTTGTGTTAGAGTTAGGTTTAGGGTTAAGGTTAGAGTTTAGGGTTAGTTGAGGATTTAGGGTTAAGGTTAGGGTTTAGGGTTAGTTAGGGTTGGGGTTAGGTGAGGGTTTAGGGTTAGTTGAGGGTTAAGGTTTAGGGTTAGGGTTAGGTGAGGGTTAAGGTTAGGGTTAGGATGCTAACAGACGAGATTTTAAATCATGTCAAAGAAGGATATCCACTGTAATTTATTACTTTCTTTTAATATATTTTTAGGCGAGACTCTAATTTAGCGACGAGCCAATCAGAAGCGTTTGAGCAATCTCAAGGTCACTGAGCCAAGTTCAACACGCGATGCTAACAAACGGTCGGTTCACAGCGGATTTCAGAGAGGTGATTAATGAGAGGTTAAAACAGATGGGACAGCGAAACTCTAATTTAGGGACGAGCCAGTGAGAAGCATTTGAGCAATTTCAATTATTAGCCAATCAGAAGACAGTATAAAGTAAAAATATATTACAAGAAAGTAATGAATTACAGTGGATATTCTTCTTTTACATGAGTTAAAAACTTGTTGAGGTTTGATAAAGGCTCAGAAGTTTTGAATTCATAATGCATATTGTATAGAAACTCGTCCATAGGGTTAGGGTTTGGGGTTAAGGGTTAGGTTAAGGTTAGGGTTAGATTAGGGTTTAGGGCTAAGGTTAGGGTTTAGGGTTAGATTAGGGTTTAGGGTTAGGTTAAGGTTAGGGTTAGATTAGGGTTTAGGGCTAAGGTTAGGGTTTAGGGTTAGATTAGGGTTTAGGGTTAGGTTAAGGTTAGGGTTAGATTAGGGTTTAGGGTTAGGTTAAGGTTAGGGTTTAGGTTTATGGTTAGGGTTAGATTAGGGTTTAGGGTTAGGTTTGGATTAGGGTTTAGGGCTAAGGTTAGTCTTTAGGGTTAGATTAGGGTTAGGGTTAGGTAAAGGTTAGATTAGGGTTTAGGGTTAGGTTAAGGTTAGATTAGGGTTAGGTTAAGGTTAGGGTTTAGGTTTATGGTTAGGGTTAGATTAGGGTTAAGGTTAGGGTTAGGTTAAGGTTTGGGTTAGGGTTAGATAAGGGTTAGGTTAAGGTTAGGGTAGGGTGCTAACATGCGATCGGTTTACATCGGATTTTAGAGAAGAGATGTCTATTGACAGGCTACAACCCTAACCACTAACACTATGGACGAGTTTCTATACAATATGCATTATGAATTCAGAGCCTCTGAACCTTTATCAAACCTTAACAAGTTTTTAAATCATGTAAAAGAAGAATATCCACTGTATTTCATTACATACTTACAATATATTCTCACTTTATACTAGCTGTCTTCTGATTGGCTAATAATTGTCAAGGTCATTTAAGAATCGTTCAAAGGTCGTCGCTAAATTAGAGTCTCGCCTATTTTTACTTTATGCTGTCTTCTGATTGACTAATAATTGAAATTGCTCAAACGCTTCTGAATGGATCGTCCCTTAATTAGAGTCTCGCCGTCCTATATGTTGTAACCTCTCATTAATCACCTACTCTCTAAAATCCGCTGTGGACCGATCGTATATTAGCAGCGCGTGTTGAGCTTGGCTCTGTGACCTTGAAATTGCTCAAGCGCCTGTGATTGGCTCGTTCCTAAATTGGATTCTCGCCAGTTCTCCACGGTTATTTAAATAGAAATCTTTTGAAAAACCCATGGCAACACTAGATTCGTATAACCAATCAAGAGAAACATAAAAACACTAATATTCATAAATATAATGATTACCACCAAGACTATTTTTTTATACAATAATAATATTAACTTGAATCTACTTCTAATGAGAAATAAACCTTTTTTGAACTACTTGTTGTGCGCACACTATCTTTTTTACCAGATACCCAAAAACGTGTTACACAGTGGATGAGAATACAGCAGTGTAAAGAATTTTGATACCAATGGATGCAAATTATCTATTCCACCGATGATTTCTATTGTAATAAATGTACACTAACTAACACTACGCCGATTATCACAGATTATTGGTTTTTTAGTAATGAAATTGCCAAAGTAAATGTAATACAAATAGATGGAAAGGAAAATGAGATTATTAAAACAGTGACTCAAAATGTAAGTTTGTGTGTATGTGTATGAGGTCACGGAGCAAGTAGACTGTGACTACGAAAGGAAAGGAGGGGATAACTTAAGAACTACGTACTTATCTCGCTGTTTATTCAATACATGCAAACAAAGTAATTATTTTACTGTATGACACCATATTCTTCAATGTACATCTGCTGAATAAACGAAATACGGAGAGCAGTTTACGTGCACCCATATATGCTCAGCACGTTATCATTTAATTGCGAAATAATAGCAGATATTAAATATTTCACTTGTATTCATGCGTGATACGTTTTTAGGATGGGGTAACTTAATAACACAAAATAATCATGCTTAAATGACGTATAAGGTTTTATTGTTCACAATTAAAAGTATACTTCTGTTAAACACACAAAACAATTGCTTCAATGACAGCTATTATAATCAGTATATTGAGTTTCAATGTTTGCCGTATATTTTTGGTTCGTGAAGATATTTGGCATTAGTTGTGATCACCAGACAGAAAACCTACAATGCCGTATCTAAATTACATTTCGATTGTCAGTATAGGGTTTGTGGAGATTATTAACTTTTTAATTGAGATCATGAACCGATTGGTGTTAGACCACCATTGAAAACCTAAAAGCACTGGACGGCCGTTCTGTCCTATTGTGGGGCTCCTCAGCAGTGCACATTCACGATCTCGCCTGCGGGACTCGAACCCAGGGCCTTCAGCCTCGCGTGTGAACGCTTGACCTCTAGACCACTGAGCCGACATCCAATTGTGTTAATGTCTAACCTCAACCAATCCACGAAATTTCGCGACCATCTTCCATTGTATTGAGGTAGATACCTGTCTCTACCCGACACGGATGGTGGTCTAACATCAATCGGTCCATGATCTCAATAAGAAACATTTCAATTGTATCTTTCTAATCTTTGACATTTCAATATAACCAATCATAGGTATGTGAAGCACATATATCAGAAAGTGCATGAGATTTACACATTAAAACATTGTTGTTTGTTTAACAGAAGTGTTTAGACACGCTAGCTGGAAGTCGCATATAGCTTACGCCATGTTCTCTGCTTTCAAATAGTTCCGGAAAGTGTCCTGTAAACTTTGCCGTTCTCCCAGAGTGTATTGGCTTGGGCCGGTTATCGTACACCAACTTAGTTTCGTCGTAGTCGTTAATTATCGGGATGAAGTCGTACCGCTCGATTGTTCGCGGAGGGGCAACATAATTGAACTTTCTTCCTAATAATTGGCTTTAAGATACTTAATCCTCATGTTTTTGTTAGTTTCTATCTAAGCTACGTTATATATATAACGTACTATAGTACTTAGTTTTGCGATGGAGGGTTTTGAAGTGTCCTCCGTACACCGCTTCGAGGGATACGTGTAATTAGTCTGATTGCACAAAACGTTAACTACCAAGTCATCAGGTGAGGTGCACGAAAATATATGTTGATTGTTGTTGAGAGTGCATAGGTTCAACTGAACTCATCTCATTCACAAACCCGTTTAATCAGTAATGTACTTGATAGGCACTGCGACTGGCCATCATGTGTAACAGTCCACACACGTTAGGCAAGTGTCCTAACAAATCAAGAGGAACGTGGTTGAAACTAGAGTCAGGAGCTACAAAAATACCCATGGGACATGCGTTGTACGTAACCACCCCGGATTTCTTCCAGTTTACACTGAAGCATTCCCACTCTCTCACTTCTTTGTATATACCAGGCTAACAAAACCGTTCTGCTAAAAACTTGATGGATGCTCGGACACCGGAGTCCGCTAACAAGAAGTACGTCACTGTTGACGTCCTCAGCAAAAAAAACTGATGATAGCATCCAAGGAGTGGATAGTAGGCAAGGAACTTTGCGCTTTTCCGAACGAGCTGGTCGATATACACCTTCAGAAGTGCGACCAAACGAATGAAATTGGTCACTTATGAAATGTAAAGTTATTCACGAATTAGGTAAGTTACATACACAGGAAGTATAATTCACTATAGATTCTCTGCAGTCTGCCAAAGATCTGTTACTTTCCATACAAATACTGCAATCTCACCGGGAAAACACATCAACGGATGAAAACACTCTGCCACACAACACTGAGAAGCACAAGAGGTATGTACAATGATCTTACTAACATGTCCTAGAGCTGCCATGAAGCGCAAACAAGAATATCTTTACAATTCAGTAGACATGGATGTTGCTGAAATGCAGGCTGGCAACAGTCATGTTCAATATTCCGAATTCAGGTTGTTTGACAAATTAGTTTCGCCTATTGCTAAGTAAATTTCATGACTATTTACACGTTCAAAAATTAGTTCGACGCAAGTAGAGACATCCCCGTCTACATCGGCATCAATGCGCGTCCATGGTGCTTCAGCAGACCAGTAAGTCACCTGCATCATCAAGTGGACTTTTTCAGGTTAGATAGGTTGCATGCAATGGTGCAAAACATTTCGTCAACTATGAATGACTTCAGTCAAACGTTGCTGAATATGTCAACAGCCATTTCGGATTTCAGTGTTAATGTAAAGCAATTGCTTAAATGCACATTCCTTATAAATAAGACATCGCCTGTTCCTTCTTTTGCAGATAATTTCAAATAACAATGAATTAGCAATTGCATTGGATATGCAAAACAATCGATGCTTAAGCTTCTGCTCTAGTGTTGTACAACAATACGCTTTTCCTTTTAAATACAAATTT